AGCACCCAAGCGGCCTGAGCGGCGGGGCGAAGCCCAGCAGGCGTGGCGGAAGCACGTGCGCGCGCAAGGAGGCGAAGGAAGGAGGCGGCTTCGGTGTCCCAACGACCACCAACCTCACGTCCAAACACGACAAGCGACATTCAGGCTTGCAGATCCAGAGCGTTGAGGAACTGATCTCCACAAGCAATCGGACAGTTGGGCAGTGTTCTAGCAAACCTGTATGACGTGCTGAGAACCGGTCGCAGCAGCTGGTCGGTTCCGTAACACACGGAAATCACGGAAACACAATCGAACCTAAAAATTTCTTTTTATCTACGTGAGACGCAGAAACTTGCCGCGGACCATCATCCTGCATGTGAGGTTGCGTGTGTGTCCGTGTCTTGAATCGTGACCCTTAGTGGATACCGCTCTGCACTATGCTTGTGGGCCTAGCAGTCGCTTTTGGCCCCGGCTTCTGGCCGGATAGTTGTCCCGTCATTGTCGTTTTTTCCGCAGCTGCTTGGCCGAGCCGACTGCCGCTGCGCTAGCCAAAGTCGGGCCGTGAACGGCCTGCCGCCGCTGTGCCGTAATAGTGCGAACTAACATGCTCGCCGCTTCGTTCTGCGGAAAAAGGTGCGTGAAAAAAAAACTTTCTCCGGGCTCCTGATGACTGTCCTTCGTTGCGGTCCTATAACCAAAACCGTGCCGTGATGTAGGATTCTGAGACCAAAATTGTGCATCCATCATGTTCTATACTGCCACATTGCCTCGGCCGTTTGAGGGCGCAGGGAAAACAACTTAACAACTTGCAAGTCTACGATGTCAATCGGTCTACCGCTCATTCCTGGTAGGAAACCTGAAATTCACATATTCATCGTAGAGCGTTTGCTGCTGTCACCTTCCAGTCCTTCCAGCCTTTCCAGCGCGCGAAGTTTTCCAAACTAGTGGCCCGAGAATTCTTCGGTCTACTGTACCAGGAGAACGTGTGCCAACAGGTTCCCATGCTAGAACACGTTTCGCCCAACGCGTGTTTGGAAGATTGATAGCAGACATCGCCAGATTCCAATGTTGCTCCAAGCAGTTGGAGGACCACGTGGGTCGATGCTGTCTCGCCCAAAACCCCATATCGTCACGACCCCGCCTCGCGCCCGAGCCGCCCTCGACGACGTCACACGAATCGTCGAGGTGCGCGCCGGCCCCCGTGCACAGCACGCGCTACGC